CAAGACAATTTTCCCCAAGCGAAATCCCCCCTGAGCTGCGGCTCTACCCAGCCATGTTGGGAAGCTTGGGTCTTCCCATTAGTCTTTTCTGGTTCGGCTGGACAGCTAGGCCAGACGTCAATGCTGCGGTCCCAATCATCGCAATTGTCATCTTTGGCTGGGGCAATATCACATTGACCATTAGCTCAATCCAATACCTCGGGGACACATATCATCGCTCTAATGTAGCAAGTGCGGCCAGCGCGAACAGCTTAGCAAGGTATACCTTTGCTGCTGCGTTCCCATTCTTCTCATTACAAAGTGAGTTTCTTGTTCAAACTATTCCCTTGATGGAAAAGACCATAGTGCTGAATTTGAGACCTCGTAGTGTACCAAAAACTCGGTATTGGCTGGGCAACAAGCCTTCTAGGATTCGTTTCACTGGCACTACTTCCAGGCCCTTGGATATTCTTCAAATTTGGCAAACGAATCCGCCAGCGAAGCCAGTATGAGACTGCGAGCTACTAGTTGTAATATTTTACGTTCTTTGGAAAATCATGCTGCTGACTCTGGTTCGTTTTACTACATTTTGGCCTCCTATTTAGGTAGAGAAAGAAGGCTACAGCGGACAAGGGAACTAGGAGTATTGATTGTAATTCTATTGAACACTCTACTTGGTCGGCGAAAATACATCTCAATCCCCCCGCAACATTGTTGGAACCAAGTTAGATGTGAGCTTACTGATACTCAGTGACTAAATTTTCGATTGCGTTTTGGATGTCATCACGGCGGTATCCTCCCAATAATGCCAGTTCCGCAGGGTCAGGTTGATACTCGACCACCTTGTCACCTGCAAATAGGGTGGCTCGAGGTAGCAGCGGGTGATCCTGACCCAGTGACTCCAACCGTTGACCATTGCCGACCGCTTGGAAGAACATCTGGAAGTACTCCGCATAGGTCATGTTCTGGTCGCCAACCAAGATGGCCTTCCCTGATATAGCTTGGCTGTTCTCCAAAGCCCCCGCGATGGCTTCGGACAGCGATTGCGTGGAAATGAAGTTCAGCCCTCCATGCGGAGCGAAAGGAGGAATGGGCAAATTCTCTCTGGCGTAGTCGATGTAAGCCCGAAACATGGGTACGATCATGCCCGGAACATTCCCAACGATGAAGGGCGCATCTAAACTACAAACGTGGAACTCAGGCCCAGCTAGCGACGTAAGTCCATCCGCAGCAAGCTTCCTGGATCGGACGTATGGGCTAAATGAGATTGCCTCCGGTATGATATGCGGATAGGCGCTGCCGATATGAATAAACTTCTTGACTCCAGCTTGTTTGGCGAGGTTTCCGAACTCTGGTATGGCCTGGCCGTTGGCATAAAGATAGTGCTCATCCGCATGTTGTCCAACAGGCACATGCCGAACGTCGCTGCCGGCCGCAAAGACAACTGCTTCAAATTTCGAGAGGATCTCTTTACCGAAATCCCCGTTCAAATAGTTGCCTTGAATGAATGGAAGCTCGGACAATACGGGAACATCGCTGGGCCTTTTTCGTCCGGCAATAGTAACATCGCTTCCTTTGGATCGAAGATACAAAGCAGCATGGCCTCCAACCAAACCGGTACCGCCGATGACGAGCGTTTTTGTTACCATATTCTAGCGGGTGAGATATGATCGTAATTCGTGTGGCTGTTGATGTTTCCATATCGTGTGTCCTGACTAGAGAGGAGAATGTTCATCATTTTATAGTTCTCTCTAGGTACGAGAAGAATGTTCTCCGTGTTTACTAGAATGATTTGTGCTTCATCACATCATTACCCACATCTGATAGATCTCCTTCCAGCTCGATTCATAAGCCAAGAGAGAATTTCAAAGCTTCGATCGTGTGAATACTAGGGTGAATGCTATAAGGTGCCACGGAAAGCGCGGAAGCCGCGCACCGGGATTAGGATCCCGCAATTACTTAGTTGAGATGAAGTGCCAAATTTGATCATTGCAGCGACGAATTCCAGAAGTAGGATCTTGGCATTTTCAGTCTTTCAATATGACAGCTCTCCTAAAGTTTCCGCCTATTCCTATTTGTCATTGATCGATCCATTGGAGAGACGCATTGGCCGGCAATCCTCCGAGGAAACCAATGACCCTGACACTGGTAGCTTTAGGATACTATGTCAAAATTCCCCTTGACCCTGGCAAATGTGTCACAGGCAACACAAGGCTTTAGTGACCTTCCATTCCGCATAGCAGCACATCTCATCACGATATATTAGACCCTCGCATCACTGCAGATAGTAAGCGTATTCGCAATTGAGCACGAAGATGCCGAGAAGGGCAAGTAAAGGGAAGAGTCTCAAGAGGATATGCGTTGATTTGCCTTGTTCTACGAGTTAGTTCCATATGTTGTCGCGGCATGGATAGCTAGCTGGAAAAGGCTCAGCTAAAAGGCAGGCAATTTCTTACGGAACAAGTAGTTCTGAATTTTCGCAAAGCCGCTTGCTAAAGGACTCACAGGATGTTAGTCTGCAGGCGATTGCTAGGATGCCGGCGAAGTTAGGGGATTTATAGGAAGACACGAGTGACTACCAACTGGGGCATTTGGGATAACAAAGATCAAAAAAGCTCTTTTCGGATAAAACATTTAGCTAGGGTCTTAAATTTGTGCAACCAGATGCCCCATAGAGACTAAAGAGGTACCAGCTGGGAGGGGACGAAGCTTCATTTACATTCAGCAATATGGTATCACTCCATTGGCAACCGTTCATGCCCCCCTAAATAATAGCTGAAAGTTCCTCTCTGCCGTCCCCTTCATTGATACAACAGACATTCGAACACGGCCCGACTTCGGATCGTCGTTGATCAGTTCCAGCTTAATTGCAGTGAACCAGAATCATGTAGGAGCTTTGGCCATCGAGCCCGAACGACTCGCACATCACCCGAGCCGCTGCCGTCTTTGCCGATCGAGGGGAGAAGAGTACCAGGCGGACTCCTTTATCCGTTAATGCCTTGCCGAATCGCGTTTGGGCTGATCAGTCCTCCTACCATACGAAAAGATTGGATCTAGATTAAGAGGAGTCCTGCTGGTTCACAACTCATAGCTCTACCTCACTGTTGGCGTATCTTGAACGTCGTTTCCCAAGTTTGGTTTTGTTAATCAGGGAAAGTTTCATGAGGTTTGACAATTGCCGTGCGCACCTTTCGCGGAACTAGGAGCCGTCATTTCCAAACATAGTAAGGATAGTATAATTCGGGGCAATTCAAGTACGGCGTGCATGCCGGTAAAGACTCAAGAATACGACGCAGATCGGGTACGATGCCGAGCAGCATGTAGGTGTACCGAAGGCACAATACAAGGTGAGCACTGCGATCCAGCTGCATATACTTGATCAACTCAATGCCGAGCCGCCTGTCCCAAATTAGCCGGTCACCTTCGGTACCGCAGATATACACTGTGCGGTTTAGTCTGGGGGCTTCCCCACACTCTCTGTAATACATGCCGCCAGAATGCAACAGTCTCAGGGAGCATCAGGGGGTTGCAGGTTGAAAGCTTGCGGGGGAACCCCTGCACCATTACCGTTCTAAAGAGCCATCGCCTGCTGTAGCATGAGTCTACGTAGTAACGTCCTGCTTCGTCAAAATGATCCGGCCGAAGGGTTCGAACCACCTCTGCGTTTATCCATCTCCTCATTCAAACGAAGTGTCCGCTCATCTAGTTTTGCCTAAATTCCCCCGCCTCGGAAGATGGTATGTTTCGTCCAAATGAGAATATGGACATCAAGAATCTAGCTCACAGGAGAATTGGGCACGCTATGCCTCGATGGTTGATTTAATTACGTCTCGAGATGCCAAGAGAATTGTATAAGATCAATGTCACCTGCGTCGATTGCCGAACTCTTGGCAGCCTTGAACCAACTGATTTTCGCCTCGCTCACTTCAACCGTTGACTTTCAAGATGGTTTCCATTCGCTCCCTGATCTTGAGCCTCTCGACTATTTCTACTTGCCTCGCTGCCCCGGCAATCGGGCCAGCTGAGTTGCTGCCTCCTCATGTTGAGCGACGGGGCCCTTCCGACTTCTTCCTGGGACCCAATCACCCTCTCATGCTCGCACGCCGCAATGAGTCCCTCGAAAGACGAGGCATGACTCTTGAGGAGCGCACCAACTACGTCCAAAACTACCAGACTGGCGGCACTGTCAACTTCACGCCCTCGGGCAACAGCTTCAGTCTCAACTTCGATACCACAGACGACTTCGTTGTCGGCGTCGGTTGGAACCCAGGTTCTACCGCCCCCATCACTCATTCCGGTTCATTCGCAGTTACCAAGGGTCTTGCGACCCTTTCAGTCTATGGCTGGACCACCAATCCGCTTGTGGAGTACTACGTCATTGAGGACTCTGCCGGATTTACACAGACCGGGACGAAGAAGGGCACCGTGACCAGTGATGGTGGCTCTTATACCATCTGGGAGAATGTGCGCACCAACGCCCCATCAATTCAGGGCACCCAGACCTTCAACCAATACATCTCGGTTCGCAACAGCGGTCTTACAAGCGGTACGGTGTCTATTTCCAATCATTTCAATGCTTGGAAGAGCTACGGTATGAACTTGGGTACGCTTAACTTCCAGGTCATTGCTGTCGAGACCTGGAATGGCGCTGGCTCGGCAAAACAAACTGTCACCAACTAGTTACTTCATGACTACTTGTTTCGCCCTTATCTTGAGATCAACTTATCTGCATTTCATTCAACATCGGAAGGCACTTAAGAGATCTGCCAGCCGCAGAACACGGGTTATTACCTTCTATTGTACCTATTCTATTTGGGTCAAAGTATGACCAAGTATCAAATACATTCTGCCACATATATATTCGCAATGAAATATCAATCTCAAGTTTTTACGCAGTCTATTTTCTTAACTAGAGCCGATGTGTCGTAGAAAGTCTAAATTCGACAGTTCGCCCCAGACTGGAAGCTCTCGTTTCAGAGCCACACGCCCAGTCGCCGTTGGCTTAGAAATTTTCCAGGCTTTCAAACTGTTTGCAAGATACCTCTGACATAGTTTTCAAAGCTTGTGAACTTCACATCTGGATATAATTCCCTCGCATCAAGATATCCAAGATAGCGTGCATACTCAGGAGTATTCTCGCCTCGAATACCAAGCAGATTCCGATACTCTCCCATACCAATCTCGGGGTTGATTGTCATAATGTCCTGACCTGTGCGACCCTGGGAGATAATGCCTTCCAGCTCTTCCTTAGTCATCTAAGCCATCTGTCAGTGCCTTATTTTCCAGAAAATGACGAGGGTTCAGTGAGCGTACGAATTCTCGTGTCACAGTTTCTCCCGACACCTTCTCAAGAATGTCGAAGGCTTCATTCTGTGTCTTGACCTCTCCATATGCAAAAACCATCTTGTTCAAGGTCCTCGGATCGGCGATGATTCGGCTGACAAAATTTCCAATGTCACGATTGTTGGTAAGTGCCCAAGGGGTATTGCCGTCCCCGATCACACGCGTGGTGCAGTATTCTTCTACCATTGGGCGAAATCTGCCTGAAGGTAGGGCAGGCAATGTCAGCTGATACCACCATCCAACGTCGATGATGGTATAAGGCAGATGGAGGTCCCAGATACGGTCAACGAACTCCTGTTTCTGCCATGCCGATGCTCGAATTAGCAATAGTCTCAACATCGATTGTGAAAACACTTCACATGAGGCACGCCATTTCATTGGAGTCTCACCTTATCCCTGAGCATCATCACGCCTCGGGGTGCGCAGATCGGGCCCCAAAAGCTTGGAATGTATCGACCAACGTTAACCTTGCTCGATGCTTCGATAAGATTCATCTCCTCCTGAAATGTGAACAAGGTCAAGCACGAGATGACGACGTCCATGTTAGTGAGAACTCCGGAAATTGCCTCTGTTGGCCCATCTAGTTCAATCGCCTTAACGTGGACGCCTTGCTTTGCAAACTCAACGAGCTCGGGCTTCTTTATCGAGGAGGGTCTCGCTAGAGCTGTAACTTCCTGTCGCCAAGTGAGTTAGATGCGCCCAAATCCAAGTGCAGAGATCCGATCCGACAAAATCCAACTTACGAAGAGTTCGGGACTCTTCAGCAGCGCATTCACAATGGAAGAGCCTGTGTTCCCGGTAGCGCCGGCTATGGCGACTTTGATTTTGTTCGCCATCATATCTTCCGAATTTTCTCCTTCGCTCAGGTACGTGGCAAAGATCTTGAATGTTACTGGTTTAGGTAGACGGTTACGCCGATGGATATGCGGCAGGTATGGTTAAATAAACACCATGTGAGTCTACCGAGACTGTACTACTCGGAGACATAATGGGCTTGATAGACCCCATCCAGGCGTAATTATAGACCGAAATATTGAAATGGTAGCTCGTCTCAAGTTTTGGAATCGTGGGATTCGGCCGAAAATCGGTCGAACGCTTATCGGGGGCCGCGTCGGGTAGCGACTAACAACCCGAACGGAATACAGATTCCCAGTCATCCAATTAGCACCAAGGGTAGTGGAGTAAGAATAAAGGTTTCCGGCTATGGAGCCCATGTTTCGATGTCTCGTGTCATCTGCGAAAGTCGTGGAGGTCTTTCACAATTCAATCTCACTTCTATTCAATGATCCGATCAGCACTCCTCGCCGTAGCCTTCCCCACGCCGACGTGTCGAAGTGCCTATCGTATGATCTTTGCATTGCATTAATAGATGTCTTCCCACTTTGAAACACAAGATGCGGATATCCCGCCGTTCGTGAACTTTAGTCACATCCGTCATTAATTGAATAAGGTCTCCTTCTCGTACCCATCCTACTTGTCTCGAGTGAAAGATCGAGTGAAAGAAGAGTAGGATATTTTACTTCCTTGAAGGTCATGGTATAGATGGTCTCGCCTTCTCATCAATACGATGGCGCCAACTTCTACCCCAGAGTGCGACAGCCCAAACACTGAGAGCTCCGACCACCAAGAAGCCGGCAGAAATGGTGCTGAACCATCCAACTCCAATTACCTTGATTGCTGGAAGTACAACAGCCGAGCCAGCGGCACCAAAGAGGTATCTTACCATAAAGTTGCCCGCAATCACCTCCGCGCTGCGTCCCTGTATCACATCCAAGCAGTATGTGTTCAGACTGGGGAAACAGAACAGCTGTGATACACCTCCGAGGAACATGAAAACGACAGGTACAGCAATGCCACCAACGCGCTGCTGGACTGTCCATCCGTAAATGAGCATACATCCCGGCAGAACGGCCCCCAAGAAGGGAAGACAAGAGCGCAGCCGGTCTTCGGAAATGCGTCGTCCGTGTCGCTCGGCTATCCAGCGCCGAACTGTATAATCGGCATAGCGGCCACCTACGAGGGTACCGGCAAGATAGCCGCAGCCCGGAGCCAAGTAGAATAGGCCCGATTGTGCCGGCGACGTCAAAGAGAAACGAGGGTTGAGAACGTATCGGATCGGGGTCAGCATGCCGTACATGTTCCATACGAGCGAGCCACTGGCGATTGCCACCAGGATGAGGTTCGGAAACTTGAATAGTCGAACAACTCTGACCGGGTTCGTCATGCCCCATAACACCCTGACCTTTTTACTGAATGCAAGCCCTTCGAGGCCTGCCTTTTTCAGTTCTTGCAGCGTCTCTGGCATGAACAATATGGCACCTCCAACGCCGACACCTGCGAGCGCGGTTTGAAGCCAGAAGATGGCGCGCCAAGATGTGTAGGTCACAATAATACCTCCGAGGACTGGGCCAATCGTCGGTCCAATGAGTGTGCCGGATAAGAACCAACCCATCGCAGTCGCGCGTTCTGTAGGATGATACAAATCGCCAATCACTGCAGGACCGGTGACGAGGAACGATGTTCCGGCAAAAGCGGTCAGGATGCGAAACACGAAGAAAGCCGGGACGTTGGGGCTGAGTGCTGTGCCGATCGAGCACCCCAAAAACAATGAAGCTGTCACCATACACGTCTAGATCAATTTGTCAGCCATACATCCTCTACCTTGATGAACAGGCGACGGCTAGTTGACAATGAACTCGTCGCGGAATGAGAAGTGGTGTCTGTAGAGAAACTACTTGCCCATTTTCGGCCGTACACTTGGCTCAATGGCCCCCAAAAGCAGGGGCTAATGGCCATAAAGACAAGATACAACGCATTGCTAAGACTGATGATATCTCCGCTAGTCTTGTACTCGGCTGCAACTTCAGGGAGTGCTGACAGAACCGCCGTACTAGAGATTGGTGACAACAAACCACACCAGGAAATGACGGCAACAGTGATGTGCTTGCGGTGCTTTGAAAACCGGTTGTATATCTCGTAGGGCACTTCCACATTAGATTGATTACGAGCCACTGGATCGTCTTGGTAATTGAGGACTCCTGATGGAAGCTTTGCCAAGCTTGGTTGCGATGAATCATCTACGACAATAGGGTGAGTTACTAGAGTTGATAGCTCCACTGGCTGGGCCAAGACGAACCTCCTTTGGCAGTTTTGGACCTCGCAGGGATGATGTCGGCATACTCCTCAATGTCGTCATCGCGCCTATCTGAGGAGGTTCTCTGGGAAGAGTCTCCTTGTTCGCGAATGCTGTTGTCGATTGCCATTGTGGGCCATTTGTTTCCAGAGGCAAATTACTATCCAGAGTTCGTCTAATTGAATGGTACAGGAAATTTTGACAAAGACAAGGAACAAAACTTGTTTCCGCGGCGTACGGAAATGGGCCACTGATATGGCGGCCGATATCCGTGACTAACCCTCCACTAGATGGGGCCGACTCGGCAACACCCGAAGCCTGGCTCCGGACATCGGGACTATTGCACCTCTCGGATGGGCGATGCTGGTATTTGAGAGCACTTCTAAGGCGTCTAGGATCCTCCGTATCCGCAGGTGTTGAGTCAGGTATACCGGCATGACGGTAAGTGTCCGAAAACCACAGTACTCGCAGTTAAACATACGATTCACCTTCTAAGGCAGTAATGTTTCCAGTTTTCTTTGATGAATTGACTGTTCCGCCATGATACCATCGAAATCAGCCTGGTTACTTTGAATTGAGAATTTTGGATTTACAGGTGAACCAGGCTCACGCACATTTCAATCAACTTGTCGGATGGCCGACCTGGACGAGTGCTCCGACGCCGGACCCGTACTGTAACCGAACTGGAACCTGCTCCACCGCATTGGTTGACGCTGCAAACAATGCGTCAGGTTGCGGCGCCTCGGCACGGAATTCGTATCGTCGGCTATCCGAAAGCGTGATGGAAAGAAGACTGTTGCAATGTCAACCAATAGGTAGCCGGTTTAAGTGGGCTGTCCCGTATTGCCATGGTAAGTCCGGAGAATCCCCCGAGCAAGCCTCTTGACACTTGTTGGTACTTGGCTGGACTCTGGAGTCTGGAGAGGGAACGATGGCACAGCGTCTGCATCATCGTCTCAGTACGCTTCCATTCAAGACACAGGGATACGGTGCATCTCGGAAGCACTGAGCGATGGAATTGACGTAGTGAGCTCGGTGGTAGAGTTTCTGTCCCTGAAAGAGCTTTGAGTGGTCTACCGCATGACAGTCCAATAGACAGTACGCTTTGTTGGATTTGTTAGTCCTCGGGGTAATTGTGACGCTGTTCTCTTTTACAGAGATTGAATAGAGTTGCCAAGATTCTCTGGCGGGGCCGAGTCTTGAACTTGCCGGCATAGCTGAGCTTTACCGGCTCCCGGGGATAGCCGAAACTGGCAATTACCTGAGTCTCGCAACAGCACCTCCGAAAAGAAGAGACCGACCCCGCTCCGTGGCCGCCCGGCATCGGTTCGACCCCGGAGTCGGGCGGTGGTCGTTGATATTGGCAAGGAAAAGCCCCTCCCAAAGGCCGAACGGCACGGGATGGCGTGCTCTCGAAGCGGGTATGGGGTCCAGCTGTGAATGGCCAATGCTATTTAACCTTCTTGAGCACATTGCCAGATGGGGTAATGAGGAGTACCAAGCAGAAGAGGTTTGCTGTGTCAGGCAAAGCAGGGAGATGAACGTGGAGAAAAGTTTTGTGTCACTTAAGCTTCGAGGGCGAACATTTGGAATATCGAATACACCTTAGGCTAAGATACGCGATACGAGTATTGCTCCTCGACGTACTCACCAATTCTTCCTAGCGTAGACAGCTCCAACATCAAAAATTCACATGCACACAAGCTCAATCTGCCAACTTGAAAATGTAATCAAGCCTTGCCAGGTGCCTTTCTCGGTGTAGTGCCCGGCGATTCGGCAAGATGCACTTCTTTAGGCGACCGAACCAATAGCGCCGTACTGGTGTCCAGGTGTGCATGAAGAATCCTGTCTTCAGCCCCTTAGCGAGCTCCCCACGTGCTCCATCGAGTGGCTGAGGACAGTCCTCGAATTGCACCCTCTCTCCAACACGCCGCCGCCTTCTCAGGCTGCAGGCAGTAATCTCCCGCGCAATGGGTGTCTCGCAGTGTACTCAGTGTACCAGCTATGTGGTAACGGGCCCGTTTGGAAAGACCCTTTAATTCGAACCCCATCGCCACGTTGTGTCATGGGCGATCCGAACCTTGCCGAACTCACGGACGTGGAGCGGCTCTTGGGCATCTTACTTCCCTACATTGTCTCAACTCATACAACAGTCATTTCCGAGTCATGGCTGTCGACGTTGAGGAGCTCATTCTTGCTCCTTTCCGCGAAGTAGTAGAAAGGGGGGAGGAATCTGCAAAGAATGCACACGATGCACAGGATGAGGATCCGGAAACATCCCGGGAGATGGCCAAGTCAGCCAGCACCATCGCAAAAGAAGGCCAACGGGCATTGAAGAGATTACGACCTTTGTGGAATAGCCAATTCGAAAAGCATGGAGATGTCTTCAAAGAGACCATCGCCGAAAATGGTATGTTGAGCCGTGGCATGCCTGGATGGTGGTCGATTGACTGATCTTCGAGAAAGATGATCTGGCGGAGAAACGAAGGACACTTGAAGAACTGCTTTACGACTTTGAGGATTACATAGAGTTGGACACTTTCGACTCGACCAAGTTTATCGATATTCAGACGGCGACACGAAGCTTTGCTCTAGTAGTACTGGACGCTATTCAGAGGGTGAAAATCGACGTCAAAACTCCGACCACGCCGGTGCACAAGTTTCCGCCATTGCCGCCTCTACCACCATTACCACCCCAGCTGGCTCAGTCACTCAGCGCCAGCCCGCAAATTCGGCCGGGACCGCCTTTGCGAGGTGGAAGCCACGGAACCGCCAATATCCCTTCATTTCCTGCCGTACCGCGGCAACCCAAACTGCCAGTGAGCCGTAGTCGCACGAGAGACTCACATGGCTCGTCTGATAGTGCGACGGTGAGGCGGACTCACTCCATAGCCGAGTCAACAGATTCAGATCCTCCATCATCTCGTGGATTTTCGGGAACTAATTCCTCCAGTAAACGGGAAAGACGACCGTTGCCCCCAGGTGTTCTCAGCGATGGGATGGGCCAGCTGAGGATTGTCACTTCACCGGAACCCTTACAACCACGGACATCAGATTGGGTTGAAGAGCAGACCTCTGTTCCAAAAGCCAGGCGACCTTTCCGTGGAAGCATCCCCGAGAATTCTGCCGTGAATGATGATGCATTTAGCGATGGTACATTCGTATCCCGGATCCATCGAAGAGGCTTCGACACCGTGACGCCGCAAAGCTCGGTATTTGATCCAACAAGTCCTTCAACTACAAACAGAACGTCGATATACTCCGATGTCCCAACTTACTCTTCCAACGTAACTTCACCTGAGCTTCCAATCATCGATGTGAGGATGTCACCTAGCGCAGGAACAAAATCTGATCCAGCCCTTTCCGTCGATTTCCCATCTTCCGGACTCTTTACAGATGGACTGATGCTGGCTGATGAGCAAGCAGCCTCAGAGACTAGTACGCAACACTTGAGATCCATCTCAACAATGGAAAAGGAAGAAGGATGTTTGATAGGGCCAAAGAGCTCTTTTCATCAACTCAAGGGATTCTGTGACGGCGCACAAACATTTCGCCGTGGAGGATATTGGCACGGCATCAAGCAGACCATGACGTGGGTAAGTCAACCCTCAAACCCCCAAAACATTTTCGACGCACGGAATCCAGGTTGGGAACACTACGACTAAAACAAAAGCAGGGCGAACCACTTCCAATCGGCCGGTGCATGGATTGCGAGTATCATCATTTGAACAGATCATTAACTCTAGATAAAGAGGGTGACTGTAAGCCAACCCGAGTTTCCATTGATTTGCTTTGATGTTTCTGACAACCCCAAGCCCGAGCAAACTTTCTGAAGTATGGTATACTCTACCGTGTGCGCTTGCTGGTCAAATCTCACATCGCGGTGAAAACAACAGCGGAAATCCGATACGCGTGTCTGTTCTGCACCCACATCGGACGCACTGTTCACGAGGGGGATGCAACCGTCTTCCAGAGCGCAGATCAGCTCCTCCAACACCTCTCTCGCCATCCACAGCCTCTCCCTGAAGTTCCTGGCGTTACTGTCTTGTATGGTCAAGTCGGCAAGGCCCATCATCAAATCGAGGATTATGATGTCCATTTCCCATCGCCTCCAGCTCCAAGTTCATTCCCCGATAATGATATCCTCACCCAGTTTCCCGTCGCCACAGCTTTGAAGAGCCACGTTCAGCGGAGAGGCGAGAACCTCCTGGGCCCTGACGGTAGCTCAAATGTGCTCACATTCTTCGTTGGCGCAAAGATTGTCGGTGTTGAGTTTCCGGAGCAATGGGGCGGCAAGTGGTGCACCGGATGGCACGACGGCATTCAAGGACCCTTTCCAGCCAAATGCGTTGAGATAGAGCGTCCAAAACAGAATGAGATTTCGTTCCAAGCTACCAGCGCAGTATCGATCACCACGAGATGGAGATGGGACCCTTCCGATAACTCGAGAGCAGGCTGGCTGACGTTTGGGAAGGGAGAGGTGATCAGAAACGTTGGGTGTAAGTGTTTTCCCCCTGCCCTGAGTGACTGGTCAGGCTCGGTGCTAGTGCTAACCTAAGCATCTTCAGGGCTTTACCAGGATCATTGGTGCTGGTCTGGAACGAACAGCAAAGGGAAGTTTGGCATCTTCCCTCAGTCACACATCAGCCCTCAGTCTCTAAAAGAGGGCTACTTACCGCCAACCTTGAAGCGAACACAACCCAGCGGACCCATGAGGTTGTTCAGTCGAAGAAGAAAAAGTACTAGTACAGCCTCCTCTATGAGTGGAGATGCTTAGTGTAGAATGGTTTGTGCATCCCACCATCTGGAATGGCGTTGATCTTCCCCAGAATGCTTTAGGGTGTCTGTTACCTCAATAGCCAGTCTAAATCAGCACATCTGAACTTGCTGCAAAATCTTCAGGAACTACCAAGAAGACTTTTAAACCGCAGTAGGAACCCGATGTCGTGTTCGAACCCCAAGAGCAGTCTCCTCGCTATGCAATGTGAAGATTGTGGTACGAGAAGCCCTCCTGAGCAGTGGGCCCCACTGATCATTCTCCGCCAATAGCTTTCAATCAGCAACTTGAGTTTCGAGGTGTGAGATTAGGAGACTCAGCGTCTCATCAAGTATTGGAGCGCTGAATTAGAC